TTGGTGAGTTACGCTATTCATTTGTGAATATACTGGGTTTTTAATTTGAACTTTCGGGTTTTAGATACTTTTTAGTTTGATCTTTCGGATTTTTTAATTTGGACTTTCGGATTTTTTAATTTGAACTTTCGGATTTTTTTAATTTGAACTTTCTGATTTTTTAATTTGAACTTTCGGATTTTTTAGTTTGAACTTTCGGATTTTTTAGTTTGAACTTTCGGATTTTTTAGTTTGAAATTTTTAGTTTGAACTTTCGGATTTTTTAGTTTGAACTTTTTGATTTTAGATATTTTTTAATTTGAACTTTCGGATCTCAAATATTTTTTTATACATATACGACTATTGTTTCTACCTATACAACTATTTTAAAGATGAATGCATCATCTTAGGTGTTAGATGGTTCACTTATATTATGCACTAAATTGTTTTAAATTTTAATATTTTAATGTTGTAATATCTTTCAGAATGCGATGGCGAATAGTTTAATTTTTCAAGTATAATGGTTTAATTTTAATTTTTAATTTTTAAATTTTTGAAACTTGAATATTTTCTGATTAACTTACCAAGTTGCAATAGGGGGAAGGTTGGCGCCATCAAACTAGTTTAACCCCACTTATCGGTCCTAAGTCCGAGATAACACTTGGATATTTTATAAATTTTTATTTTATTTTATAATTTTTTAATTTTGTCTGAAAACGATGGAATTTTATCTTTTATATTCGCCATTGATGTTTTGAAATAGGATTTAGTATTATAAGATTCATATATTTCAATTTTTCAATTGATAATTGTGATTGATTGTTGATGATTGATTATACATATATATATATATATATATATATATATATATACAGGGTGGGCAAAAAGTCCGTAAAAATTTTAAAAATTCATAAAATCCGGAGAAATGAATGAAAAAAAAACTGTTTGCAGGATCAGCATTAGTATGTCACGGGAATTTTTTTAAGCTAGAAAAAAAAATTTGAAAATCATCCGGCAGGTGGCGCTGATGTACGCAAATCAAAGAAACAATGCATAAATAATGAAAAGAAAACTTTCACAACTTTATTACACCAGAATATGTTCCACATGACCACCACCACAGGGGAGAAGACATTCCAGACGAGTGACAAATCCAGCAACGACAGAGTGCAACATGTCCGGATGTATGGAGGATACTTCACTGCGGATCGCACCTTTCAGTTCCGACAGACTTGATGGATCGGATAGATACACGCGAGATTTCAAATATCCCCACAACCAGAAGTCTGCCGGTGTTAAACCTTGAGACCGAGGAGCCATGGGTACCTGCAGCAGCTGCTAACGATTCTGTCTTCACCGAACGTCTGTATCAGGAATGCCTTAACTAGGTTAGAGTGTGACTGGTTGCTCCATCCGGCATGAACGTGACATTCGAAATCTGACCTCGTTGAATTAAATATGACACGACAGTCTCCCGCAGAAGCGTTAGATAACGCTGAGCATTTACCGTTTCCGTTATCCATCCATTTACTGGGCACTGCGTTTCAAAGAAGAAGGGTCTTATGATAAATGAACCCGTGAAACCACACCATGCTGTCACTTTTGGGGAATGCAATGGCTTCTGTGTGTACTCACGTGGATTAGAGGTCGCCCAAATGCGACAGTTATGGCTGTTAACGTCACCATGAAGCGAGAAATGAGCTTCATCTGTCCACAAGATGTTAAAAACCCTGGTGGGATCCTGTTCTATTTTAGAGAAGGCCCAATTCGCAAATGCTTCCCTCTGTGCGGTATCTGCTGGCAAAAGTTCATGGCACGATTGCAATTTGTACGGGTACAGCTGGAGGATTCGACGAAGAATATTGCGGACAGATGATGGTGGTAAGCCCAATCGTCTGGCAGCTTCGCGAGCACTGCTGGTCCCTGAAGCTGCTTCGGACGCAAACGCTTCCATTTCGACAGCAATGCAGGGTGCACGTTCTTCTTTCAAGCATGGTCGTCCGGCTCGTGCTCGATCTTCCAACTTTCCAGTTTACTCAAAACGTTTAACAAGCTTTAAGAGACCTGCAGGTGTTAAATGGCCTTTTCGACTCTTCACATTTTTCTGAACGCGGTATTTACGCAAGGCAATGGTCGCTGATTCCTCGTTCATGTAAAATAACTTCACCAATAAAGCTTTATCCGGCGCAGTGAGCATCCTTGTTCACATTCACTGTTTGTAATGGTGAAATGAATGTGGATTCATTGAGAGCAAAGGTTTTTATAGCCGTCTAATTTGCATATTTCCACCACAGACGCTTGTAACAGCGCCACCTACCGGATGATTTTCGAATTATTATTTTTTTTTTCTAGCTTAAAAAAATCCCGTGACATATTAATGCTGATCCTGCAAACTGTTTTTTTTTCGTTCATTTCTCCGGATTTTATGAATTTTTAAAGTTTTTACGGACTTTTTGCCTACCCGGTATATATACATAAGTGGGAGTTAAGAGCAATATATAAGTGGTATTACTCAGTATGAAAAATTGTTCAGAAATTGTGAATACCATTGTTTAATTTGAAATATTGATAGAATGCTCTTGGGTTAGTTTTTGATGATTTACTCTATTCGTCATTGAATATATTGGGTTCTTAACTTGAACTTTCGGATTTTAGATATTTTTTGATCCCACACGACTATTTTAAAGATGGGTGCATGATCTTTGGTGCTTGATGTTTCACATAGATTATGCACTTAATTGTTTTAGAATTTTAACATTTTTATGTTATAATATCTTTCAGAATGAAATGGCGAATAGTTTAACTTTTTAAGTATTAACTTTCTTTACTTTTTAAATTTTTTAGAATTGGATATTTCATGGTTATATATAACTTACCAAGTTGCAATAGGACGATGGTTGGTGCCATCAAACTAGTTTAACCCCACTTATTAGTCCTATGTCCGAGATTGCACCTGGATATTGTACAAATTTTTATCTTCTAACTTTATAATTTTGTTTGAAAACGTTGGAATTTTATTTTTTATGTTCGCTTTTGATATTTTGAAATGTAATTAAGTATTATAAAATTCATATAATTTTTTTTCAATTTTTTTTTACTTAAATGTTAAATTGTGATTGATTTATATATACATATATATGTGCTATAATAAAAAAATAAGCATGATACATTATTCCACAAAACAAAGAATGGAAAAATTATGGATTCGGAAACAAAAAAAATATATATATAAGTAAATATTTATAAAAAGGAAATTGACCCAAATGGAAAACTGTTATGTTTTCAATTGCTAACATATATTAAGGGCTGTGAAGTTGGGTTGAACTTGCTTTATGGGATCCCGATCCTCCTCTTCAGCAAATAAAATGATATATATTTTTGCATGAAAATCGTATAAAAAACCAAGTTAAAAATGACTTAAACTTAACTATAGTACGGATACACTTACATTAATAAAATAAATTAACCTTAAAATGGTGACTATTGTAAAATTGATCAAAGCTACAAAACGATGCGCATAACAAACAAACATATATTCTATAACTTACCTAAAACTTTTTCTACTTAAATGAAGTATTATTATTGTAATTATCTGTGTGAAAATTTACGAACAGTATGGAACGTATGGTCTGTGATTCGGAGCTATGATACGTAGTCAAGAATATGTGTTTATTTAATGTGAAATATTTGTGACTAATTAAAGTGAATAAAGGTGATGATATCTGAAATCTAAATAATACGGCAGTAACAATTATAAATCACATATTAGTTTTTATTTTATGAAAATACCGAACTCTAAGACTGATTGTTTTGATCGATTTCTATATGACTCTATCAATAAAAATGAATTTGTATGTGGAGTTTTAACATATATTTGCTAAAAAAAAATTCTCCTTTTTTTTTTTCTTCCGGAAGCTCTGTTTGGATTCTGGCTGTTTTCAAGGACATAATGGAGTTATATTTATTGAATTATCTAGCGCACAGGCTACACACATAAGAATCTAAATAAGCCATTTTAAATCACTGGTGAACAAAATTTAATTTTAATTCTTTTTTTCTGAATTATTTAATTGATTTTGCTGACAATACTGGTTAAATTTTGCATGTAATTCGAAAATGAACACAACTAAAAATGACTTAATCTTCTTTTTCGCATAGCCAATTAATTTACCTCTATTTTGCCGTCGTAGAAAATATACATTTTTTTATAACTAAAAAAAACCAGATGGTAATGACAACAATTGCTTTAATATCTTTTCCATTCACTATACTAAGTTGCGTAAGGAATTTCAAACTAATACTGAATTCACAAGTAATCGATTATCATGTTCTCTACTGTAATCTTTGTTAAAACATAATTGAATTCTCGAACCTCTTTCCCTAAAATTTGAGAGAGTCTCTTCTTTTTTCTCTGAGAAAAACTAAAAACATTTTTCCTCTTAAATTTGTTTAAATATAACATTGCGTATTTTATAACGTTAGCATAATAAAATGAGCAGCAGAAAGAAAAAAATAAAAGCCATCGAACAATAAACGGGAGAAAAGTATAGTAATTGCAATTTGCTTCGATTTTTTATATCCATCTAGGAATCCAAAGTAAGTAAATTTTAATTAAATTGATTATTCTTTAGAAATAAGTGTAGAATTATGTATTTCGTGTCATTAGGTAAATAATCAAAATCTAAAATGTGCTAAGCTTGTGGATAGAGGCACGATTATTTTATTTAACACCAAAGGATTAATTTCTTTTTTCTATTCGCGTACTATTAGTTCACACTCTCCCTATATATTTTTATTTATGTATATAAAAATATCTTGTTCAAACTTTCAATCGTTAATAAAATGTTTTTTATTCATATATTCACGTTCATGTGCATTTTTTAAATTTGTAGTGGATAACACCTGATTTTAATACATTATTTTCAAATATTAATTCATTAATTAAATTTAATTAATGAATAAACAGTAACAAACAAAGATAATAATTCCACACTATATATAAAAAAGAAAATCGCTCGTTGGGTCCCTGTAGCGCAATTGATACTGTGTGCATTGGACTTCTATTCCAAAGGTCGTGGGTTTGAATTACACCTAGGATCGCCTAATTTCTGAGAATATAATTTATTTTACTGTACTATTTTATTGGAATAATTAAATGTAATGAATGAATAAAAAATAAACAAAAATAATAGTCCAACGCTCTATGTAGAAAGGAAAATGGAAAATCGCTTTCTATTTCTCACTTTATACATTGATTCTGTCATACGTATATTCCTATTTGTATTAATTGTAATTGTTTACTAAAAGGTAACTAAAGTAAAAATTTTTCTTTGTTGGCCTAAGTAAGAATTGACTTTAAAATACTTTTTTTATACTACTTATTTATATTTAGTAACAGAAGAAATTTGCTTATATTTAGTTACCAAACACTACAAAAAATGAAAACTAGTAATGTTGCAGAATTTTGCATTCCTTATTGACGCATTTTATTTTTAAAAAAAGTACAACAGGTGGTTTTTTATAAAGTAAAATTCAAAAGTATTAATTCCAGATTTTGAAGTACATAAATCAAGAGAAACTGTTCTCTCTATGATAATCTAATACATTAAGTAATACTGTTTCAAACAAAAAATCTTACATGAACGTTTTAAAAAGATATACCACTTTTAATAGCGTCTACAAATGGGATTAACTACATCATACAAGCTGAGTAGCAATAAAGCTAATATTTTTAAAACACACCTCGAAATTTATGAATAATACATATTCATGAATATCGCTACTGAAGTACAACATTTTTAAGAAAAAAATCTGAAGTTTTTGAAATACTATATCTATATATATGCAAATATATGAAAGAAAGTCATTTCTTCAGTATCATTGAACATGAAGTGTAAATTAATGCAAAATCTGATTTACGATGAGTAAGGAAGGGTATAGTTATAAACCTTTATTATGCAGTAAAATCTTAATTTGTGCCAGGTCTTCTTCGTTTTATCTTGCAATAATTTAAAAGCCTTTTGAATTTATTTTTCAGACAAAATATGGTTTCACAAATAGAAATCAAGTTTTATCTCTCAATATAACTTTATTTTAAATACTTAAATTCAAACTTACATTCGATATCATGCAATTATGCAATGCTCTTAAAATTAAATACACTTCTTTTTATGTTGAAATCGCTACGTAATGATAAAATTATTATTTAGGAAAAGTGAAGCCGCAAAATGTTGAAGATTTTGAAAGGTTGAAACCTATTTTAGTTCACGCATTTATTTATTGCTAAGTTGGCAAATTATTATCTTCATATTGGATATACATCCAATTCGGAAAAAAAAAACTCTCGAAGCAATTTAGCCCAATTTTGCTTTCTTCTTTGCCAAACATGTGGGTTAAAATAACATTTCTCTCTTTTAATAAAGTGAATATTTATTTATTAACATTTTTGAGAATTTTTTGTTTTAATATTTATTTTTAATATTAATTTATTTATATTAGAGAAAATTTATATTTTATAAGAAATTTATACTAGCAAAAGTTATTCAGAGGAAATAGTTTTATTTACTCAAGACACAATGAAACAAAAATTTACATTATGTTTTATTTCAGGTTTAATTCAAAATTTAAATGTATCTTTGTGAACCTTGTTTTATGCAGTGTATTTACAAGCAAATCACAATTACTACACATCTACATATTTGTGAAAAATTGATGTACAATAATAAATGTTGATTAGTTATTTTATAAACAATTTTTTTTCACAAATATTTTTTGTTGAATAAAAATAAAAGTGTGTATTTGATTTTTAATCAAATTGTAATGAAAATAGTATCAATTTGTACCAAATACACAAAGTTTTAACCTTTTATTTTTTAAACGCTTTGAAATTGAACTAACTCGTTTAGAAATAAAATAATCACGTTATAACTGCATCTGAGAGAGTGATTATTTTTTATGTCGCACTATAAAACCACAACACAAAGGCTATTGGTGACAGTCATCTTAATTTTGAATCATGATCATGTGACGAGGACGAGACCTGAGCTAGTACGCTCTCTACAAACTTCCAAATCTTGTCAATTGGAAGCTTTTGAGCCTCTACCTATTTAACTCGTCTCATCTGTTCTACATGGTGGGACTTTTTATTTTGAGATTAAAATTTAAAAATAATTTTCAAGACAAAAATAAAGATAAAGATAGTGTGCTTTTTACAATGAAATAATTGTGCCTTTTTAGAACGACATATTTAAATGGATTTTTTTTAAAAAAATATTTTATATGTCTGCATATTTTAAGTTCAACTAAAGAGTTAAGGTAAATTTAATTAAACAATGGGTAGTAACATTTTATAAATGCATTCATATGGTAATTCTATAGAACTTAAAATCAGTACATTTGAGAGTTGGGTCCTATCAATTGTATTTATTTTATTTGTAGAAAAAGGAAACTTTTAAATCCTTCTTTAGCTAAAAGATTTCCTTTTGTAACATAAATACTTAAATTTTAAAAAAAATGAAGTGAGAGAGAGAGAAAAGTTTGTATTTAATTGAGTATGTTACAACTGCAAGGAATAATCATGGAAGATCATTTTGAATTATATTTTATATGAATAAAAGAGTAATTATATTTATTTTAGTCAGAGTGTTTTGTTATGAAAACAAATCTGAATAGAATGCATTTATTCACAAATAATTAATATCAAATTCATAAGTAACTAAATAAATAGTACCCTCTGTAACTTTGTTATATTTCATTTACTTAAATAATAATAAATATAGCTCTAATATACCTTATTTTTTTCAAATAACAGGGTATTAAATTAACATCATTTGTATTTCAAGAGATAATGGTTTTATACTTTACTATCTTATCATGTTTGACTTATTTCCATGGCTCTATTTTCGTTTTACCGATACAGAAAAGTTACTTATTTCATGAATAATACCTTAATGAGATTTATGTATTCTTAAAGTAACATTGGTGCTTTCAGACTGAAAGAAATTTTTGATATAATAACATTACAGGAAGTGCATTAATCCTTAGAATATTTCAGAGTTAAAAATTACATAGAATTACTCTTCGCACCTTTGTACATGTAAATATTGTGATTTACTTTGTGACTTAATTTTAAAGTTCGAAAGGAATGAAATTGAATTTCTTGTTTCGAATGATGTAATGGTTAAAAGGAAATGTGCTTTACTTTGAAATTAGATTATTACTGAAAGTAACTCGCGCATTGATCATTCAATCTCCTACACATTAATGCATCAAATTTTGTTTAATGTTTCCAGAATTTATTATTATTTTTTCAATTTGTTTATTTTTGCTTTTAATTTCTACAACAAATTTTATTCTTAACTTCTAACCAAATGATAATGATTTGTGACTTCTAAAATGTATAACTGCTTTATTTTAAGAATCTCCAATTAAAAGGGAGTTTTGTGCTAAGCTTTGAAGCTATATCAAAGGTAATAAAAAAAGTTGTAAATTAGAAAAAAAAAACGGTTTTCAAAAATTGTTTGGCTTTAGATGTTAGCAATAATCAATTTTTTCACATATAGACATAAATGTTTTTTGTAATTCTTCGTCGGGTTCACCTATGAAAAGAAAAGAATAAATCGCACGCGGTCTGAAAGGCCACCGACATAATTTGATCTTCCTTTCCTACCTAATCAATTTTAATTTAAAACATTGGAGGGACACCATGGGTATGGTCTTAGGCAGTGATTCTGAACCTTTTTTTGTTTGTTGCGGTACACTTCTAACAATTTCAAAATTTGGCGGCACACTAATATTCAACTAAATTTAAAGGAATTTTACTTCTCTATAATACAATTCCATTTATCCACGAAATAATAAGTTAAATATATCATGAGTATATTTAACTTAGTTTATTTCTATAAAACGCGCGCGCGCGGCCAAATGATTAGGTTCAAGATTACAATTAATAATTTAAAAAAAAATGGCGATACACAAAATTGCAACGGAACAGGGGTTGAAAATCACTAGTCTAAAGTAAACAAACTGTACCAAAAAGAATCGGTTAAATGAGCATAATGAAGCTTAAACTAAATGAACCCAAATTACTAATTTCACACAAAAGGAAAATCGAACTAACAGCGTATCATAAATGAAAAGAACTGCACTCATAATTATTTTTAGATTTGGGACTATCATTGAAATATATTGCAATGAAATACAGAACAAACTTATTCTGAGAAAAATGAACGATGTCAATAAAAATATCTTTCAAAACTCCCCTTCGATGACACAATAGGACACACTCGGTCTCACAAGCCAGAAGGGGTCTGGGGGCAAGCCGGGAGAGGGGTGTGGGCAGACTAGACTGTGGCATGCGAACCACCACCAAGAGTCAGATACTATTGGGAAGGAATTTCCATCTTGGTTTCCGGGGGTAGGAGGGGTATTTAAAAAACTATTTTGCTGGCTTCTAAGGGTGGGTTAACTTGTTTATATTTATTACTTCTTTTTTAAGTTATTGACCTTTATTGAGAAGGACCTCGCAATTTTGAACCGTGCTCAAGTGACTAGAGCAACACCTAAGCTTCTGTCTATCTCCAAACTATCTCACCAAGCCAACGGGAAGACTTAAACATCAAAATTATTCCTCTATAAGGTAGATCTTCAGTATCAGTAGGGCGCCAGCACGTCATCAGCGAGCTCTTGACCATAACCAATATGGGCTGCTAAGACCACACCTTAAGAGAGCAAAGTTCACTCATTCAGATTAAATTTATTTTGATTTTCAATTAAAAATTTCAAAAGAGGACGACATTGATTAATAATAAATATTAATGAATATTATTTAATTTTTATGTAAATTTAGTTCACCATTTTACCGGTAATGAAGATATTATTGACCATAATTAAAAGTTTTCCAGAAGCAGTTAATTTAAATTCCACTGAAAGTATCCATTATTTCCTTTAGAAAATATTTGAAAACAAATTTTATAAAAATGTACTCTAATTATTAACATTCAAAATTTTTATTACCTTTAAAATAATACCATTGAATTTAGGTGTCGCGCGTCGATCACATCTACTTATTTTCTTAAAAATATTCTTTAAAATATTGTTTC